GAAAATTGAGCTCGTTACGTAATAATCGTTAATAATCATCGCTTTGCAACATCGAAATGAAACTTTCTCCCAAAGTTTATGATATTTTCACGTGCTTGAGATTATTGTATTCTTGTTTAGGGAGAGTTGCAACGGCTAAATACATCGAGAAAGTTTCGATTTAACGTCTATGCTTGCTGTTAACTCTAATTTTGCGTATTTCGAGTATTGCGAGTACACCTCTTTTCGTGGTATTTGTAAATAAAAGCATACGATTAAAAGAGATTAAAAATATTACCATCTTTTTTTTTGAAGCGAGAGAATTATGTTAATATTTTTTGTGGAAATTACGTTATGATAATTACATCGAAACAAATAAACGTTGAACCTCGTTAATTAAAAATAACAGTAGCAATCCTTTAAAAAAAATATTTCGCAAAATTTATTTTAGAATCTGAATTGAATTGGAGATAAATAATTGCGTCTTGATTGGAATTTTAAAAAGGATGATGAAAATTGAAAAGCAGAAACGATTGATCGGTGAATCGGTGATCGAAACGACTAATTACTTTGTCGATTCAATCAAGCATTTGCCAAATAAATAGCAATCGCAATTCATAGATTTCGAAGGTTTCTATGAATTGCCGATAAATTTGAAGACCAAATAGTCATTTGTCGTGTAAATTCCGATCCTTTGAATATTAATATCATTTGCATAGATGTATATATATATACATATCTGGCATAATGTCACGTACCAAATCTAAAGTCAAACTCTCCGATATCTAATGTTTAATGTCGTACTTGTAAAGCGATGATTGAACGAAATGAGGTATATTTGCACACGTGAAAATATATTTACATAGGTGCATTGTGCAAGAGAAAAATTCAGATTTCATCCGCTCGTGAATTATCAACAGCAGAAATTTATACCTGCGACGAGAATTTTTATGAAAGTGAAGAACCCCGATACACAGATAAAAGGTTAAGATAAAACGAGAGAAAGTTTAATGAGAAATAATTAAGCCATCTTTGATATAATACGGAATCGAGTAATTTATTCGTTAAAATGTTTCTTGAAATTACTGCCAACGAGCATTTTTTCTTTTTTTTTTGTAATTCCATAAGTTGAAAAAATTACCAATGACTTCAAAAGAATATTTCCTCCCACTGAAAAGAACGGATTACTTTTTATACTGCGGAGAAAAACTAATATCCGTGAACTGGTTGAAAACCAACGATAGCGTCCAAGAGAGAGAACCGCTCTTGATATTTAGAAAATGACATTTCCAAAGATTAATAACCCAAACCTTCGTTGTTGTCGATATGTACATGAAATGTATGTACGCGAAATATGAAATTAAACCACATGAAATCAATCGATACACAATCCTTCGACACTACATAGTTGTTGCCTATTTTTCTTTTTCTTTTTTTTTATCGCGAATGAATCGTTGTCTTTCGAAAACGAATTTGAAAAAAAAAAAAAGAAAAAAGGGTACACGAACGAGATCGTAGTTGTATTTCGGAAACACGCGAGAAGTTCGATGAAAAAGGAAGAGAACAATCTATTCACCCATTCGTGAAAAAGAAGATAAAAGAGAAAAATGGCAAACGTATAAAACGAACCCGACAAAGTATTGTTATGTAAAATCACGATGATATAAAAATAAAAAAAGATATCTGCATATACATACACGTAGAAGAAAATTTCAAATCTTCATCGAAATGGATCCTTAACATCGATCAATATATCAAGATTTATACGTTACTTTAAATAGGATTGATCTCTTCGCATCCATAACTCGAGAGGAATTATACTTCCCCTTATTCCCCATATTTTCTCCATTCCTTTTTTCAGAATATAATGCTTCAACAAATTCACCGAAGCATATCCTCGTGACTTCCATCCATGTGAGATAGGCGAATACACAGAGAGAGAGAGAGAGAGAGAGGATTGTTCTCCGGAAAGTTGTACGATTTAAAAAAAAAAAAAAGCAGAGAATGCAAGGAAGATACAAAGAACAAAACTTTGCGGAAGCTTCCTCTTGTCTTGGATTAACTGTTTCGCCATAGCCTGCGAGAAGAGAGAAACTTGCCTGTAATGTGCGATTTAAAATTCAGAAAACACGCGATCCACACTCGAGAGCATGACTGTTCTCCTGCAACCGAAATACGCTTTTCTTCGAATTGCGAAATAAATTTTTCTTTATACCAAATCGAACGAAAAATTGGATTTTCCTTCCTTACGCGATTATTCATTTCACATTCCCTTTTTCGCCTGTGATCTCGTTTCACGTATAAGGGAGAGCATTGATTTTTCGCTCTTTCTCTTAATCAATTTTGATACGCACTGTCCGTGTCCGACCAATCGTTACTAATACGCTTTGAGAGGCCAAGCATAACCACGATTTTATAATATTTGATTAAATATCGGTTTTTCGCAACCAGAGTCGAGTTTCATTTATATATATAATAGAGAGAATACGGTCCTTGCTGAGTCGAGCCAAGGATTTATATGATTATTTATACGATATATGATTATTCAGATCATATTTGTAACAAGGATATCTAGCAGTAAAAAAAATTGAAACATATTCGGAAACCATATCGTTAAAATCCTTTTTTTTGTTTCGTCGACGTCTCAATCCATTTTCGAGATATAAAGATTCAAAGTTTCCGTAGCATTTAAGACAGTGCGAAAATTATGAATGGACTCACGATCCAGTGACCTATATTTTTTCTTGGAAATAGTTACTACGCTCTTCTAGGAATCGCGTCTCTTGTCTGGAGTATCTTGGAATAGATCAATAGAAAGATTAAAATACGAGAGTGGAATAACGAGAATAAAGATGCTAAACGATTAAAAAATTATGTTTGCACAATGATAAGTTGTATTGGGATAAATCAAGAAGCATTTTTAGGGAGAAGGTTCTAACGATCGTTGACCGAAAGACATTATCCTCGAGATTATAGCTATTCAAAGTTTTCCTAATTTTAATCCGCTTTCTCTATCGAGTTTTAATTACGTGATAATTGCTGTTTTCCTGTTTTCGAATATCGAATTGTTCAAACTTTCAGACATTGTGGCTGAATGCGTCTTCCTCCCCTCTTCGAGAAACCGAGCATAGCCGCGATTCTATCTAAAATTTGATTAAACATTACTTTTTTACAATCAGTCCTCTTCGAATTTCATCCACATTAACGATCGTATCATATCATCGTTAATGTTCCGTCTCCGCTATTCTTGTCTATACCTTTCGATATAAACTTGAACTACGCACAAGCATCGTCGTAAATGGCTCTTTGCGCATCGGTTCGGATGTATTCTCGAATTCCGCGTGGGCCACGCGTAGGCGACTTTACGCGCGTATCACAACCGGTTCGGCGAACGTGCGATTACATCGCATTACACTTGGCGCGTTTGTACGGTTGTCGCTCGAGGGCGTCTTTTGAGTTTCCGCACATTCTGCCAGCTATAAAATGACGGCGGCATTTAGGTGAAAGCACGCGACAAATGTCACGCTTTTGTTGATCTATAAATCGTGTCAAAGATCGGTATTACGACCGTTTCGAGGATAGTCATCGGTTTTTCAACGATGCAGCACTAAGGTATTTTTTTATCGATCAATGGACGAGCCATAAACTCGCCGACCAATTTTTAACGTTGCCTAAAAGAACGATGCTTGTCGGGGAGAACGGGGAGAAATTACGAATTAAGTTTATTGCGGTCGTAAATTACGAATGTAATTACGATGCATGAATGTGACCTCGATAAGTTATGCGATCTCGATAAGTTATAGCGTTGATATTATTATATCGTTAATAATGGTGGATTGCATGCATGGGACGTAATATCCCCGTGTTAAAAATCGCTTGAAAAATCATTTTAAAATCAGTAAAGTTTCATAAAATCCGAGTAGATAGATATTTAAGAAATACTACATCTTTTTTCGAAAATTAATCGAATTAAACGAAATTGAATATTTGATGCGATTAAACATTATTTGATCCTCGTTCCCGTTTTTAATTCTGTTTCACCAGGAATACGTTGTAAGTACGTAAAAATGCGTAAAAATTTCATGGATGAATTTCATCGCGAAATACGCTTTTTTTTTTATCCGTTTTGTAACATATATTTCCAAATAATCGAGAATCCCATTTATTTATCACTCTTATGTATAATTTATATCCGATAGGTTGATTAAAATATCAATAACTGAAACAAATACACGTGGATTCACCTGGAGAATGGAATATCTATCGAAACGTGTACTGCGAGTGACGTCTACCGAGATTGCACCATTAGTAATACGATCTACGGGCTATCGCTCACGATAAGGTAAATGGTATAATGGGGGATGAAGTAATTGAACTTGTAGAAAATTGGATTCTATTAACTATCAGATTGTACTAACTGATGCTGAATAAGTTACGACAGGTTTTACGTAAATCCAGTCGTAATGTCGTGGAAGCTGCGCACCATTGTACAATTTTCGATAGAAGAAGTCAAGTGGAATACTTTTTGCCAAGTGTTGTTTTCTACAACAGGAGCGCGCGGTAAATATCGATCGACCCGTTGTACGTTGGAAACGAGATTACAAGTGAAACGGAATAATTCCTCGTGCGTGATGCAATACGGGAAAGAATTTGAACCAGCGAGCCAATTAAAAGACCAATCGACTTCTGAAAAATTCGGCTTTCGTTCCTGCATTTCAACGAAGATAATTCTCGTCGTTAATTACGTTAAGAAGTTACAAGCACAGGGTGTTGATACATTCGTGAAACGCGTTCGAAGAATTTTTCATAAATTAAATTCTCAAATCCGTAGACTCGACCAAAGATATTCCACGAATGTATCGACACTCAACACGTATATAAAATTTTAAAAATTTCAATCGTACTTAAAGAATTGCCAATCAATAACTTACCCATTGTGCGTCAAGAAGGACTTAGGCAACGATAGCGACCGCTGATGAGGATCCAAGGATCCGTCCGCCGACATCGTGTCCTCACCCCTCGTTGGAGCGCTTCCAGGCCTGGACAGCATTCCATCTTTCGGCGGCTCCATCAACGTCTTCAGAGAACCGATCACCGCATCCTCCATGGGAGTCGATGCTCCCGAGCTCTTCGCATTCCTCGGGCTCTTGGTCACGGTCCGATCGGACGTGGTCACCCAAATGTCGCTACTGGACGATGACGAAGTAGCCGAGGAGGATGCAGCGTGGCCGCTCGGCGATCTGTTCGCGATACTCTTCCCTTGAACCGGCGACACCTTTCTATCCTTATTCTCGCAACCCTCGAAACTCCCCGTACCGAAATCCGCTTTCTGATAATACCTATGATATTCCCTCTTGTCCACGCTCCCACCGTTCCCACCGTTAGATCCTTCCAGAGACGACCACCGACTCGACTGTTTCAACACGCTCTTCGGCTGCCTCTCCTGATATTTGGCCGCGCTGCTGTTACTCCGATCACGAGTCGCCCGATTCTTTCGGGACGCGTCACGATCGCGAAATTCTCGATCGTCCATCCGCTCCAACGATGCTGGAGACGAGCTGGCGCTACCTCTGCTCGCGTGGCTCCCAGCGTCCGTGGGGAGCCTCTGATGAGCCGGGTAGCTCTGAGATAATTTCATAAATACTGGGGCTTGATTGGGAGAGTAAAGAGTGTCTCTCTGCGAGCAGTGCGGCCAGAAATCGCACGTGCTGCTGTTGCAGCGCAACTTCGTGTCGGGACTGATGCAGAAGTCATGGTTCGCGGACGTGGGATTCGCATTCGGGGTCGTTGCTCCCCTTTGAAGCGTTTTAGGTCGCCTCGATTGTTGCTGTTGCGTTTGCTGCTGTTGCTGTTGCGACTGTTGTTGCATGGATGATCCCGTGGATTTGGAAGATTGCTGCTGTTTAGAGGAGATAAAGTAAACATCGTAAGTGTTGGGATTACTCCTTTGCCTTTGCTCCTGGCCATCCTCGCGACGCTCGAAACGACACGACAACAGACTTCTGGCTACCGCGCGGCTCCTCGTACCGTAAAGGAACTCGGTTACAGCCTCGGTCTCACGGAGCAACTCCTCGTTTAACGCGTTCTCGGTTGACTGCGCTTTTCCTAGAAAACAGGCACAAATGATACAGCGGTGAAGAAACGAAGCGCAGAGAGAGGAAAGAAATTCGAATGCTCGAAGGTATTCTTACGGTAAGAATTCATCTATTCCAAGTCTCTTCGAGCGAGCTTCTTGAGTGTATAACGATACACTCGATTATACGTGATGAATCAACGCACCGTGTAATTCGAAAAAAAGAACGAGTTCTATCGAGCACCTATTCGAGTAAAGAAATTGTGCGAAATAGATCTTTGAATAAAAAAAAAAAAAAAAAAAGAAAGAAAAAAGAATTTAAAACGTTAAACAACGTAAAGAGTATTGCTTACTATTCTGAAGAGCATGACGTTTCCTCTCGTTGCCTCGATCGCTGGAAATTTTCACGACCAATCTGTGGGGCTCGTTAGATTCCCTCGAATGTTCCCTATTCAGTGGCGCAGCGGCGCTCGGAGATCTTTTCTCCGGTAATTGAAGACTTCTGGACCTTCTCACCCGCGACTGATGAGAGTCCGGAGACGCTTGCGCCGTCCTCGCGCTCTGATGTTGCCTAGAAGCGTTGCTACGTCTGAAAGGATTCGGTGTTGGCGATCTGCCCTGCCTGTCCGTGCTGCTCGACGACGAGGAGGAGGAAGATGGCGAGTTGAACGACAACTTGCCCGATTCCGACGATCCCGGCGATCGTCTCAATCCCTGCTGACTCCTGTGATGTCTGCTCTGCCTGTTCGGCGAGATCCTCTCGCCGTTGGCGCGGATAGATTCCGTGGATGAGTTCAACGCTATTATCGAGGAGGAAACGAGGCTCAGATTCAACGAGGAGCTCGGATTGTCGTCCTCGTCGTCGCCGTCGTCGTACCCTTCCACCGAGGAATCGGTGTTCTCCGCCAATCTGGGCATGGTAGTTCTCGTCACGCAACTATCCAGACTTCTGAAACCGACCGACGACGAGGACGAGCTCGACGATTCCAGATAACGTTGGACGAATTGCGACCTCCTCGAGGAAGACTGATCTTCCAACGACTTGGCTTGCGCCATTCTGTACTGTTGCTGTTGTTGTTGCTGCTGCTGTTGACCGCCGCTGTTCTGCCTCCGAGCTCTGGACGGCGTATTCGAGGATTTTCGGGAGGCGGCAGGCGGCAAGGAACTCCAATTGACTTGATGCGGGGGCGAAGGCGGAGGGCTGATGATATCGCTGTCCACTATAGCGTTGGATCGAGGGAGGAAAGGCGGCTTCCCGTAATTGTTGCGCCCCGGACAATGTTTGGAGGAGGAGGTTTTCTTCCCGACCGCATCCTGGAACGCCGGTGGCGGGGAAATTATCGGGGTGATCGAGGGCGGCGAATACGATTCCGGGATGCTGTGGGGCGAGGTGCAGGCGCTGCTCCCCACGGATTCGAAATCTTGGCCGTGCAGGGCCAGATAGTCCGGTCTCTGGCTGTCCAATCGCAGGAACTCCTCCGGGCATTTACCCGGCTCGCTGTTGCAATGATAATCGGCCAATTTTACCGTGGCTCGTCGCGGTAACGGGAGGGTGCCCGTGGCCGCCGTCACCAGGCTGCTCTCGTAGCTTGTCCGCCGATTCTCGTCCAGGGATCGTTGCTGCACCTGAACCCAACCGGATCGACCCAGATAGACGCCGTCCACTTCTCGATCGCACCATCGGACCGGCGACAATTCCCTGCTGCAATCGCCGCTGATGAAAAGTTCGCCGGATGTGCCGCTGTTACCCGACAGGAACGAATTCGAGGATTCTCGACGACGAGAACTCGTCACCTGTTCGTAAATTCATCGATAGAAACAAGGAAGGGGAAGGGGAGTCTTCCAGACACTCGAAGAAGGTCGAAACTTTTTTTAACGAGCTCTATTCCGAATTTCGAAACTTTGTTTCTCTTTCCTTGTTTAAGAGAAGTATGCCTGTTCAAAGGGTAGAACGAAGTTTATGCCGAACCGTTCACGATTATTCGAATAAACGTACGAGTGAGAGTATTTTTAAAATTTCGATGAAAATTTGGTAAGTTTCGAGCGCGAAATTTTCGAAGCGAGAGCTCGCTAGAGATACCGTGTTGCATGAGATTTCAAAGGAGCACGATACAATAATAGAAGGAATATCTTCTTTTTCGACTCTTTACTTGCCTGACTATGACTGTCCTGCCGATGTTGCTTTAGGCTGGAAGTCGATGCCGATGCCGTTGTATCGTGCCGTTTCAAGGATGGTATTGAAGTGCCTCGTGTATACGACCCTCGGGCGTTTCCACTTGATTTTCCTTTGCCCCCGCTTTGACTTTTATTGCTACCGACGCTGTACGAGGAGCCCTGAGAACCAACTTCCCAAGGATCCGAGGTGCTGCGCAGATGCAGGATCGACACGTTTTGACCTCTGCAAACGAGTCGACGGGCAAATAAATCACTAGATGAAACTTTTCCCCAATCATCAAAATTATTATCCACGAGTGAAGTATTCTACAGACAACGAGTGAAGTATTCTACGAACTTAATCAGAAGAAGAAGAAGAAAAAACATTTACGTTTCGAATTGATTCTCGAAAGAAGAATTGTTGCTTTTCCTCGAGTACGATCTTCTCGTATAAATATTCATCGAGATCGCGATATGCGGAGGAGGAAATAAAGAGGTGAGGGAAACGAAGAACGTTGTATCCTCGTCTTTCTTCGAAATGTCTACGGAGACGAGATTCTTTCCTGGCTACTCTCGATACGAGAGCATACCACGGAATGCGCTATATGTGCTGTGGCAAAAGCTAGCAACGTACGAGCCGTAAAACGGATTCGTTTCCGACGAAAATAAACATTCGCCGAGTTTCGCGAGACACCGAAACGCTTCCAGTTTGACCGTGATTGAACGTGTGTTCCGTGAGAGTTCCTCTCTGTTTTCTTCGCACGCGTTCCAATGTGTACAGTAGCGAGGACGTGACGATAGAAACGACGTGATCAAAGAAACGAAAGATATGTACGATACCGAGCGATTATTTTAATTTCGAGATCGTAATGGCTATAAAAAATATTTGCGTGATTGTGTTAATGATTTTTTAACGAATCATTGTTTTTATCATTTGGGTTCCATATTTCGTTTTTTAATATTAAATTTTAATAGACGTGGATGAAAAAGCGATATTAAATGATGTAAAATATAACGTAGTTGGATCCAATTTATTATATATTGTTAAATGCGATATTAACACAACGGTAAATATGCAAATATCTTTTGTATCCATTATTCTCTCCGATTAATACGTATATATAATGGAATATTGCTATACCATAAAATTAATTCGAAAAGTGTGACGCGTAATAACGAAGAGAATCCTTTTGTTCTTTGAGAAATTCTTTTCAGATCGTTCAATTTATTAACCGATAATAAAAAGAACTCTCTTACAAAATCTTGATCGTCACTTTAATTTTCAAAACTTTTGATAAAATTCAAACTTCATCGCAACGAGTCAGTCAAAATGATTGAACGCTTACAAACGCTTACGTCGATAT